ACCAAATTACATGCCCTCTTTAAATAACTCAGTAGTAAAATCAGCAGCAACTAGGCTCTTGACAACCTTCAAAAACCTCCTCCTAACAACAAAGAGATATGGCAAAGGGATGATATCCACAATATACAAAATACTGCTCCAAAACCCCACTAGACGTAATCAAAAAGCAATGGGAGGACAACAAAGGCTATTAGATGACCCCACCCAGTGGACCAGGATGTGGTTTAAACCCCTCTTTAAATCCATAACAGCAAAAAGAAATCACTTATCAGTGAAAAGAAAAGAACTCACTCTGATACTCTCTTACAGGTGGTACCTAACACCATGGAAACTAGTGCCAATACGCCCAGGAACCTCACCAAAATGTTGGAGAGGATGCACCGCCACAGGCACATAATACCTTCACATGTGATGGGAATGTCCTAAAATCCAACTCTTCTGGAGAGCAATCATACAAGAAATATGCAAAATAACTAAACTAAACAAGTATTAGATAACTAAACAAGTATTAGAAGTCACCCCAGAACTGGCCCTACTAAACGCTTTCCAAGATAATAATGCCCACTCACACCGTAACCCACCTACTCATAACCCACCTACTCTCAGCAGCCAGAAACATCATAGCCAGACCCTGGAGAGACCTGTCAGGAGTAAGCATGGACCAATGGTACCAAACAGTATGGGAAACGGCCTTATTAGAAAAACTAACCAACAAACTGAAACTGACCCAGGGACAAATAGAAGACGGTGCCTTCACCCTGGTATGGTTCCCCTTTATCACGTACATAGCCCAACAAGACAACGACAAGTATCTGCCGACAGCATACGAATCAGTCTGGCTAAACTGATTCAAAAATACATACTCACACTCCGCTCACACATAAAAACAATTCTCACTACAGCCAACCAAAGACAACCAACCACACCCTAAGCCACCCTCAACCTTCCTCACCACCAAGGAAACACAACAAGTGAATAGTAAGAGAACCCATACAAGTAACGCTGACACAACCCCCCCCCACTAAGTAGAAGAACAGAAGAATAACCACCCCACCCCACCCCACTGACCATTCCCCCCTCCCCCCCTTTCCCCCTTTTTTCTCCATAATTGTTTAAAGAAATTCATGAACCAAGAACCTATACATTGACCACTAATAATGAAACATATGTTGTAAATATTTTTCCACATTAATATGCTATTTTTGTGATACACAAATGACATGAGAAAACTTGGTACACTTATTTGTAAAACGTTATTCTTGTTTATAAAACCAAATAAATAAATAAATAAGTGGATCCTGGGTCTGAAAAGGTTGAAGACACCTCATGTACCTGCCCTGTAAAGAACAAAAGCTCCACCAGCTTTGACCGATGTGCTTGACATTTCTAACTTGTTTTCCTGCAATGCTGTGCTTTTAGTGGGTAACGCAGCTTGCGATATTTATATATGAAAGTGTATATTATAAACGTTAAAATAAATAAGTAGCTATCTGCTATCATCTAACCACGATGAAAGCAAGGTGTAAGCAAATCAGGATGCCGCCTGGAAGATCCCTCTCTTGGCAAAAGAGCTATTTGCCTCCCTCCAGCCTTCTAGAAAGGGGACCAAGCTCATCGACTCGTGAGCCACCAAGCGCACCCTCTCCTGGGAAGGGCCCTGGGCTGCAGCTGGGACTGCACTCAGTCTGGGCAGCAAACTTCCCTCCTGATTGCATGTGACAAGGCCAGAAACATCTGGCCCACCTTGCAACGTGGTTGCTCAGCACAGCCTTCCAGCCCCCGCAAGCCCTCTGTTTCTCCTCCCCACCCTGGCTTTGTGGCTGCCTTTATGAACCTGGCTATCTTCTCTTTCCAGACTCCCATCATTTACTTGCTTCTTTGCTTCCCGGCCTGTTAATTACAGGCCTGATGTGGGCGAACAGAATAGAGGGAGGGGGTGTTATTTAGATGGATAACTGCTTTTGTTTCCTTCCCCCTGCCAGACTTTGGAAACTGGAAGAGGTGAGTTAAAAGAGGAAGATTTATACCAGGATCCTCTCCCTGCGGCTCACCACCAGGATTTATAACCCGCTCTGGTTCAAACTATGTTCAGGAACTGGTGGCTCATAAAAGTGAAGGATTGAGAGGTGCCAGCTGGGGCCAGGTGGCAGCAGATGCCGGGAAAGACCCCCCCCCCAGCCCTGACGGTGTGCCTCCTGGCCTCCAGCCATCTCCTTATTGCAGCTCTGGGCTCATGGAGCCTTCTCAGTCCCTCTCAGTTCTTAATTTCAGCTCTCAGGCACTAACAGCTGCACTGAGTCAATGCTCGGCTCAGGGTCTCACAGCAGGGTTCTAAGGTACACAGCTAGGCATAAGCTAAGACGGCGTTGTCCCAACACTTGACATGCCCTCTGAGATGGGTGGGCATGGCTGTCATCCCAAGGCCTGGGACTGGGCAATAAAGAGAGCGCTCCTGGGAGGAGGCTGGGTCTGCTCAGCCCAGTTGCCGTTGCATCCTTGGCAATGGAGGCGGAGACAATACAGCTGGCTCACTGTCCAATCTGGTCTCAGGGGAGCACTTCACTGATGAGCGGTGGTGTTGAAGTCATGCTGCTGCCGCATTGGAAACATCCAATAACACGGAGGTGAGACTGAGAGTCCTAGAACTACACCTACAAGGAGCCAGGACAGTCACAGCTGAGGAGCATGTGGCCCCTGACAAGTTCTTGGACTTGAACTCGCACCACAATGGTCAATTGTTGGGAATGACAGGAATTGTGTTACACAAATCAAAACACACCTGTCCTCCTAAATTCACTCTGAATTGTGCAATGCAGTTCTCCAACCCAAAAATGTGTACAAAAACTCCCCTTATATAAGAGAAAGTGTGCACAAAATGCACATATTGGCAAAAATAGCATGCACTATAATTAGGAGAGATGCACACAAAAATATGCACAAATTTTCATTTATTTTTATTTTTTTATTTTTTTTTGCAAAGTGATGTGGAAATGGGATGGACTGAATTTACAATTGGAAAAATGAGAAAGTGATAGAAACCAAATTTTGCAGGTTTATCCATCCCTAGTTTTTAGACCCAAAGTTCTGTCATTATGTCAACTTCTGTTCTGGGTCAGAGCAGAATCCAATACATCCATCAGACTGGAAAAAGCCAACACTTTCTTTTTCTAGTCCTCATGGATGTGCAGATAAATCAGGGAGAAGGCTTAAAACTCAAATGTGAAAGTCAGTAAAACACTTGTGCTGTTTCTTCCCCGTACACCAGGATCATCCCAACTTGCCTCTGCTGCTCCACTGCCAACCTGCTTTGGGCTGCTCTCCATTCCTCTAGGGGTGTGTGGATATGAAACAACAAGTTGGGTGCTTAGTGAGGCAATCTCAGCATTGCTTTGCCCAATGCCAAACCCATCCACAACAACACACACCAATCTGCTTGTATAAAGAAAGGCCTTTTTCATGCTCACTGGCAATGTAGTCCAAAACATCTAGAGTGAACCAAGTTGAGAAAGGCTGGTCTAGATGTAGTAACTGGGCAAGAATACCTCACGTAGGACAACATCACATAAAACGTTACTACTACTGTCTGGTTTAGCCGGCCAGTCAAAGCTGTTTCCCGGGGTGTGGCTGCTGTTGCCTGCTGACAGATTCTAGGAGCCACAGGTGAGAGCTGGGAGCAGGATGAGGGCCAAAGGTGGACAAACTATCCCTGAAGGAGCACAATGTTCCCCCCCAACCAAAGGTACTACCCTCCCCTAACACCCCATAAACTCTAAATCAGGCGAGGGTAGCTGATGGGTCCCAAACCCTTGGTGAGTTAGGGACTTTCCCTGCATGCGAAGACAGGCTCTGGCGGGTTGAATGGAGGAGACCAAGAGTGAGTCCAATGGTCAAGAAGAACTGAAAGTCATTTGGCAGTGGCATTGCTCCCCATAATTTACACATGTGTTTATTTGTTCCACTTTCCCTCTCTGATTAAACAGTTTCTACAGGTTAGAAAAGACAAAATCCAGCACATCTTGTTTACCAGCAGCAAAAGCAAGATGAGCACATACTATAGGCAATGATCCCTGTTTCAAATTACTTCCGACTCTGAAAAACAGCCATCTGTTTCTAGGCTTTGCCTTTCTTCAAAGATAGCAAACAGAATGTACAATTCCCAGGGTCCTCTGACTGGGAGTCATTACTACGAGACAGGTTAAAATTGGCTTAACTTTCTTGTTATGTCATCCACCCAAGGCTTCTGCGCTGAGCAAGCAGCACAGAAATGTCCTGAAGCAGGAACCTATTGGTACTCTTCCCAGGGGCCAAATGTAGCTGCAGCATTAATTGTCTCATGGTCATAATGTCTCACAGGAAACAATCTGCAAAGCTGTACATTATTGCTTTAGAAGCAGAGACAAAAATCCAGGGCTCAGCACCTCCAAACGTTTCGAAGGCATCCAAACCAGCATATGGGGATGCAGGTTCAATTTGCTCATCTGATGGTCTTACTTTCTCACCTATCTACTTATTTTCACATATTACATTTATATCTCCCAAGGATTTACAGGAAGTTTCTCTGATCCTGGCCAGGCCTACAGCTTACATCAGCCACCTCAGACCATTCACTCGGTCCTGCGTCAAAAGGGACGCGTCAGTGCAGCCCCAGTCCTCTGTGTCTACTGTTTCCAAGGACGAGAGAGCTGCTGCTGCTGCTGCTGCTGCTGCTGCTGCTGCTCCAGTGACTTGAAAAGTTACATGAATATAGGAAGTAGCCTTATACCAAGTCAGACAATGTGATCCATCTTAGCAGTGCCGTCTGTATTGTCTCGACCGACTGGCAGCAAATCCCCGGAGTTTCAGAGAGGAAGACATTCCCAGTCCAACCTGGAGATGCTAAGGATTGGATCTGGGACCTTCTTCATGCAAGGCAGTTGCTCTACCACAATGGCCCTTCCCCAAAGTTCTTTAGAAGTTCAAAAAGAGTTCAAGCATGGTCCACAAAAATAAACTTAACTCACTTTACGTCTTTAGGTCTGAATTCTGGCTGAACAAGCCCAGGAAGGTACAAGGCAGATGTACAGGCTCCCAAATTGTAGAAGGCTTGTGTGATGTCCTTCAGCATTGGGCACCAAAGATCTGGGATCTTGTCTGCTAATAAGAGAAAAAGAGTTTGAGTGTACCTGTCTATTTGGGGTTCTTTCAATTTCTTGTTTCTTCATTTTTTCTTGTAATATAGACATCTATTCACTTTGCCTAATATGCACAGTTTTGCTAAGCAATTTTCCCTAATAGAATATATTTTTGTATTTTATTTTCACGAATATATGTATTTTAATGCACACCTTACCCCAGTATATGAATTTTTGAATACATTATGTGGCTGGAGAACTTCGCTGAAGGATGGCCGTGTTTCTGTTCATGTATTGTTTCATAAAGTGCAAATGAGGTAGGCTCACTTTTAAATAAGAACCTCTGGGCTCATCTACACTTCCACTTGCCCCGTGCCTAGAAAGCAGTTTTCTGATTGTCCCATGCTTTCTAGACACTGGTTTTACCTCTTTGCCCCACTGTTTTCTGCTGAAAAAACGCACTTTGGCGCTAAATCAGAACAAATGTCAGTCCATAAAAAACCTGTCTGCTGTTTGTTCCAATTCTGAGCTAAACTGTGGGTTTTCTCAGGGGAAAGTAGCAGGGCAAATGAAGGCATAGATTCACCCAGAATCCAATTTCATTAGGTGTCCAGTTGCAGAACACAGGAACAGATCCTTGTCCCTTCTCCAATGAGAAAGAAATACAGTGGTACCTCGGGTTAAGTACTTAATTCGTTCCGGAGGTCTGTACTTAACCTGAAATTGTTCTTAACCTGAAGCACCACTTTAGCTAATGGGGCCTCCTCCTGCTGCCACGTCGCCGGAGCACGATTTCTGTTCTCATCCTGAAGCAAAGTTCTTAACCTGAAGCACTATTTATGGGTTAGTGGAGTCTGTAACCTGAAGCGTATGTAACCTGAGGTACCAATGTATCAGAACCTTTTACTGATCTGGAGCATTTTGGTCTGGAAAATGAATAAGCAGCATCTCCTCCTGCAGTTTCAAGCAGCAAGCTTGAAGGGGATGATGTTCCTTGCCACTTGCTTCTCCTTGCCTCATGGGGGGGGAGTGCTGCAGGAGTCAGCACCTTTATAAGCGCACATCCACAATACAAACTTATATTAGCTCTATGTTAGTTTAACTTTCATAGCTTAGAGCAGTGTTTCCCAACCTTGGGCCTCCAGCTGTTTTTGAACTACAATTCCCATCATCCCTGACCACTGGTCTTGCTAGCTAGGGATGATGGGAGTTGTAGTCCAAAAACAGCTGGAGGCCCAAGGTTGGGAAACACTGGCTTAGAGGTCGGCTGGCAAGCTCTACGGTATGTGGCCTTGAAGACGAAGCTCTGGCTATGGCTCAAGCTTTGTTTTAAACCAGTGGGTATTGCCCCCTTGATATTGAGGGACGATTTCCAATCATCGTGGGAAAGGGAGGTCATTAACGAGGTTCAATTCTGCGGATTGTCTCACCTTTACTTTGAGTCTATGACGTACAATCAAGCTAGAGCTGTGATCTCCCGGAGACTGAGTGATATTGCCAGACAAGAGGACATAGCCCAGGTAAAACCAGGGATGTTCCTAGGGGACCAGATTTATCGGACCATACCAGCCCCCTACCTTGCAGAAATCCACTATGTGGAATACCGCAGACTTCTTACAGCGGCTAGATTAAATGTCCTTGACTCCGCGATATTGTGGGGAAGGTACAGGGGAGTACCATACGCCCAGAGAACCTGTCATTGTGCCATGGGTGTGGTTGAGTCCACCGAACACATTCTCTTGGCTTGCCCTTCTTATGCAGAGCTTAGACAAAATTTTATAGACCCACTCCTATGTCAATTTAGCTTCCTACCCGGAGAAAACCAGGTTTTACACTTGCTGAATAATGTCACTAGAGCTATACCTTCCTTGGTGGCCAAATTTCTTTTTTTAGCTTTTAAGCGTCGCAAGACTATAATTGACTGTATTGATATGGGGCTATCTGTTTAGCCCATTTTAGTGTTGGCTAAGTTCTAAAATCTTCCTGGATGTTTTAACTGTGTATTGACAAATGTACTTTTTTATGACTGACGGTCGAATAAAAGGTTGATGATGATGATGAACTTTCATAGCTTCTCTCTATTGAGGGTAGTAGCTTTTTGGGTTAGATATCCACAGATTTAAAGCCCCTAGGTCTCTGGCAGTGGGGGACTTTTCCCACAATAAATTTGAGCAGTGCACACACTGTACCTTTAAAGCACCTTCAAAGCACATTCTCCCCCTCGAAGAATTCTGATTTACCCCTCTTTTTTGTTAATTCATTAAATATGTACAATGCCCTTCATCTGAAGAAGGTGGTTCACAACATAACAAAAGAAGAAACAAAAGCAAACCAATAACTCATAAACACACTGAAAGGGTCGCAGAATGCCCAACCAAAGCCCTGGTTACAGAGAAACGTAATTGCCTGGCGCCTGGAAATATGTAATGAAGGTGCCAGGTGAAACTCTCTGGGGAAAGCATCCCACAGATGCTCTGAGTGGCCTCTTGGTGGGTACATTGTCTTGCATGTTTTTGACATGCCAAGCAGTGGCGGAGCATATACTACTGCCATCCAGGGCAGGCAAGCGGAGGGAGCCCACTCAGCTGCACCAGCCCAGCCCTCGCCACTACTTCAAGGGCACACTCAGGCCGTCCTGCACAGCTTTGCAAGGTGCTGGAGGCCAGGGCAGGAGAGAGGCGGCAACACTGCTGCTGCCTCTCCTCTGCCAGGTCAGGCCTGCCCCGGGAATGGAGCTGTGGCTGGTGGGGTGTTGGGCCACTGTACGAAGCAGCTGTCTCCGCAGCTCTCTCTCACGCCAGAGCCAGGCCTCAGAGACCTGGCTGGGTTCAGCTTCCCTCCCTGTGGCTCTGGCTACGATGAGGGGCCTGTCATGGAAGGCACCTCGTCACACCTGGGGCCACAGCCCCCCCTGCTACACCACTGATGCCAAGGTTGGGAGGACTATGCTACAACCAACCACAAGTGACCAGAAAATTTGTATGCATTACAGCAATTTTATATGCTCCTCTCACTTGGACTAAGAATTTGTTACCTTTGTCCCAAAAGAAACCAGAACTGCTGCCTGCCTGCCTGATGGATGAAGGAACAAGAGAGGCTGTCTGTTGCTCACTCACGGCCTTCTGAAAGCAGGCCTTGCCCCCACCCCAAGGCCAAGTGTGGTCGCCATTCTGCTGCCCCCCCCCCACCACTTGGTTTAACAACCTCAGCTAGAAAGGCCAGAAGACCCCCACCCAAATCCCAGAGCGCTGAGGCCCCTTCCCTTCCGGTGTCTAAGCAGATAAGCAAGCAGGCTGCTCAGGGTGACTCAAGCTCTCATAGCACATAATTGCCTGAGGGAAACAAATCTTTACCATCAGACAAACCACTGCCTTTCTTTGTTGCAGCCATTTGCAGCTGGTGGGTTTCCCCTCCACCCCAGCCTTTGTTTCTTCGCCAGCTTAACAGATCCTCTAATTACCATGTAGGATGGGAGGAGGGAAACTGCCGCTTTTAGGAGCTGGGTGGCAAATTCCCTCCCTCACTATTCCCTCTTCACCTCACAATTACCTGACGCCTGGCTGGGCCATATCCTGAGCAATTTAGTTGCTGGGGGTGGGAAGAGTCTTTGGCTGGGGCAGGGTAGGGCGCAAGAGCAGCAACAAACTGCTGTGCATCTGGAAAGGATATGAAGGGTGGGGGGCAGAGCAGCATCACACACGCAAGAGCGCTAGGAGTGGGAGAAATGAACGAGGGACGGAGCCAGATGTGCACAACGACCGACCGTCTCTGAGCTGTGGGCCTCCTGGGCAGACGCTGGCTGGGAAGCTGGTGCTGCAAGGTTAGCAATATTGGGTCTGGGGAAGGGGCCAGTAGTCCAGGGACTGTTTACCACTGAATCAGTCTTTAAAGATCACTCTCAACAACTTAAGATCCGCCCATACCATAAACCAACCGATCGAACTTCATTATTACACGCTTCATCCTTTCACGCTCCACATTTATTGAATAACTTACCGTATGGACAGTACTTAAGACTAAAAAGAAATGCATCGTTCCAACATGACTATAAAATAGCGGCCTATCAACTCACACAGTCCTTATTACAACGAGGATACACATCACGGACTCTTACTGCAGCTCAAGATAGAGCGGAAGTGAAAAACAGGAAAGACCTTCTTGCTATAAAAACCTCGGATAAACCCAGAGAAGATCGTATTTGCACATCACTGCAATTTACACCACATACTTCTAGCATTAAGAAACTCATATATAAACATTGGCATTTGCTATCCAACATCCCAGGATGTCAAAAACCACCTATAATTGGTCTAAAAAGAACAAAATCACTGAGGAATTATTTGGTGAAATCGGACCAACTTACATACCCAGAAGCATCAACTAAAGGCCACTACAAATGTGGTAGTTGCAATGTATGCAAATACGCACTACAAGTAAAGGAGTTCACCAACATACAGACCGGCTTCAAGTTTCAGATTGAACACTTTAGTAACTGTAACACGAAGAATAGCGTGTATGCATGGATGTGTCCATGCCACAAGATATACATAGGCAAAAGCACCAGACCAATCAAACTACGCATAAATGAACATCGATCACGGATCCGCAACAGAGTGCTAGAAGCCCCAATGGTGGAACATTATATACAGCAAAAACACACGGAGGATGATTTTGTTTTCTTCATTATCTGGAAACCAAAAGTAGATTTATATACCAGGAGAAATATTGATAGACTATTGTTACAACAGGAAGCACGATATATTCATCTGTTTGAAACGATGTCCCCCAAGGGCTTGAATGAACATCAAGACTACAATTCTTTTCTTTAAAAAACCATTATAGATGACCTTGGATTTCAAATCTCTTCTCTGTTTACACCTTTAAGAAGGGAGAGCCTATCCTCCTCCTCCTCCCCCACAGACACATATATAAGACAATGATCTCACTCCCTAATAGAAAACGCACAGAGAAACGCAAGAAAACTTGGATTCAATTATCTAAGGTGAGAAAACACTCATC